GAGTTTGACTCAAAAGAAGAGAGGGACAAGATTAAGATTCAATACTTATATTAAAGTCTAGGCTGGGTACGGTGGCTCACACCTGTAATCACAGAATTTGGGGAGGCTGAGGAAGGAAGATCGCTTGAGCCTAGGAGTTTGAGACCAACCTAGGCGAAATAGTAGAGACTAATCTCTACCAAAAAAAAAAAATTGGCCGGGCGTGGTGGCGTGTACCTGTACTCTCAGAGGCTGACGTAGAAGGATTTCCTAAGCCTAGGATGCTGAGGCTGTGGTGAGCCATGATTATGTCACTGCACTCCAGCTTGGAGGACAAAGTAAGACTGTGACTCAAGAAAAAAAAAAAAAATTTAAAACGTCTAACCTGATTAAAGAATGTTACTGGATCTTGTGAAGAATATTTGAACACATAGTACATCAGAAGTCATGTAAAAATTAGCTATGTTATAAAAGTTCTAATGCATTATATAGTATACGTAGTAAAATGTCTCATTCATCCTAAAAAGAAAATGCTTATGCCAATAACAACTGGGCAGAGAAAACAGCAAAGGAGATCCTGTCTACTTACAGAATGAAAAAGATTGTAAGGTGGACATAGTAAATGCATGATCAGTTTTAAAACTAGCATTTGGAAAAGGGTAAATAAATTGACTTCAAAAGATATAAAGATTTGCTACAGTGAAATAAAAGTTCACTAAAAAAATTTTGTAATATTAGTGACAATTCACCCAAGGTCTGGGGCTAAAATTCATCCTTCCACAATCTATAAAAGTTAGACTGCTTTTTGGGCTCCCAAACACTATTCTTAGGTATATAGGCCTATGAACAAAAAAGACCAAGTCTTCATCCGTTTGCCTGGCTGTTACCAAATATTCAGTAACAAAGAGTAATAAAACTACAATCATTTACAATTATATAATCCAGATTACTGGATATATCCAAAGTAATACTTCAGACAAGCCTTTCCTATTGAAGAAATAAATGTAATTTTGCTGTTATTTCTCTTTTTCCCTGAAGAGAAAATGACCATCCCCTCTTTGAAATGTCTCCTTGTGAATTCCAGTATCACTCAAAAATAATACTTTTGCTGGGCATGGTAGTGCATATCACTACCATTTGGCAGCCCCAGATGAGAAGATTGCTCAAGCCCGGAGTTCAAGGCCAGCCTAGAAACATAACGAGACCTCACCTCTACAAAAAAAAAAAATCAAAAAAATTAGCTAGGTATGGTGGTGCATACCTGTAGTCCCAGCTACTCAGGAGGTTGAGGTGGGAGGATGGCCTGAGACCAGGAGGAGGTCAAGGCTGCAATGAGCGTGATGGGCTACTGCACTCCAGCTTGTGATAGAGATCCCAACTCAAAAAATAAAAAATAAAAAAGTGATACTTCCTGAAGAAGGAAGAGTTTCTTTAGGAATAAGAATTCTTTAGGAGTAAGATTAAGACTTTTTTTGTTGTTGTTCTTTATTTTAACAAAGAAAGGCATTTAAATTATTTATGAGAATCCCCTCAACTTACAGATAGATGCTGTAGATATTTGGGAAGCACAGGCAAGGTGTGCTAGGAAACTTTAGACTACAGAAGCCCTAAGGGGGGTGGGGGGAAGCCAGAAGGAAGTCTTATTCAGATGACGATTATCACACTTGTTTAAGTTTTAAGTACACTTCTTTAAGAGAGCAGAAAAACAAGGCATTCTTACCACTTGCTCCTCAAACTGAACACATAATACATTTCAATAGATCCTTTCATAATTTTATATCAGCTAGTTGGGCAGACAGGACATGTTTTGCTGAAGAAATGCTTAAGTAAAATGTTTCATTAGCATCCTACACTTCATGTGTTCTGAATCTGAGCTACTCCATACATCACACATGCCTTAAAAACTCTAGAGCCATCTCCAATTCTACTCCCACCACTGCCAAAGTGATGATGGCATTCAGTATAGTTAAAAGATAAGTTTTTGGTTTGCTAGATGAAAAGGCATTTAAGAGAAATACTCCTCAGGGTCAATCTAACATTCCCATAGAAGGTCCTTAAATTCCGGTTAAAGAAACACTAATCTAGAGCACTTCAGAGTAAAAACCAAATCCACATGACCGATATAATTCTAGTAATATAAATATTACTATTATGTCAAGAATTTCATCAGCAGCATTTAAAAAATCATTAGACAATAAAAGACAAACATGGTAATGTAGATTCAAATCAGCACGCAACAATTCACCATTTTTTGTCAACTATGTTACCCGAATCCCTGGCAATTTCCTAGGGGTACCACACCTATTAAAAATGATTGCGAGTGTGTGGGGCAACTTTTCTAACCCCCACAGTTGAAAACCAACACCTGGCTCTACTTTCTTCCAGCAGTATTACCTTTGTATACTACTCTATTAAGAAGTCAGTCAGTCAACTCCATGTTATAAAGCACCACAGAGTTTTTCAGCCTGTATGAAGGAAATCATTCTAAAAATGCTACAACAGGATTCCTGGGAAGGCACTTAAAGCTCACTAGTCAAAAAAGCAGCCACAACAGTTAGGAGATTTTTTTAGACACAGGCTCCTTAATATCGTCTTCTTGTTTATATCACTTGACATCTTGATCATACATTTCCCAGTAAATTAAATGCAGTTCAAATTTTAAAGAGGATAGACAAGGAACACGGCCCTGACTGATGAAATCAGGCAGAGTAAATTTTCCTTCAAAGTAGGTGAATGATATGACTTTGAGAAGAGAAACAGATGAGGTAAGCAAGTAAAGCAAGCATGGCCAGGGTGGGATTCGACTGCTGACATTAAGGAAAAAAATAAAGTAAATTTCATTTTCAGACTCTAGAAGTCCTGAAGCTATCTTTGGATAAGCAAAGAAAACACAGCTAACCTTTGAACAGCCAGGGTTTAAACTGTGGGGATCCATTTATACATGAATTTTTTTCAACCAAATACAGATCAAAAAGTGTGGGATGCGAAACCTGCACACACAGAGGCCTAGCTTTTTGTGTAGGTGCACTCCACAGCGCCGTGCAGGGCTTGCGTGTGTTCAGACTTGCATGTGGGGAGAGGGGATCCTGGTGCCAATCCCTTGGGTATAATGGGAGATGATTTTTTCTAAAGTCATCTATAAGCTTTGAGTATTCCTTATTTTTAGTCAAATACTGAAGATGACATAGATATTACCATTAGTTCAGGCTATAAATTGACAACTTATAAGATTTCACATAAATTATGCTTTGGAATTTAACAAAAATTGACAATATTCTTCAAGTTTAGAAGTTGTGCCTTGAAGGAAAAAGTCAATTAAGTTACAAATTCAATGGTCTAAAAATGTAAATACTATCTTTATAACACATTTGATATTAAAACATCATTCATGATATTAAATCATAATACCACTGGTATGCTCAGTTCGAATAATTCAATGATTCTAATACTTAAAAGGAACATTTCAAGAAATTATGCTTTTCTGTAAGACATTTAGGGGGAAAAAAACTGTTTCTCACTATTGTATGAGTGTTTTACAAAACTATACAAAGTAATCTTATTAAGAAGGCAGGTAAAACATTGGCAATCATTTTCTCCCAGCTTATCACCCAAAAACCAAACAATAAAACAAACACTCTAAAACATTATTCTCCCATAAAAATCAATACTAAAAAGTCATTCATTAAACAAATTCACCATCAAAAATCGACATTAAATCCCAATATAAGCTTTTTTTTGTTTTTGAGTTGGAGTCTTACTTCAGACTGGAGTGCAGTAGCCGCTCCCGGCCACCGCAGCCTTGACCTGCTGGGCTCTGGCGAGCCTTCCGCCTCAGCCTTCCGAGTAGCCAGAACTACAGGCATGCACTACCACGCCCGGCTGATTTTTTGATTTATTGTAGAGATGAGGTCTCGCTGCCCAGGCGGGTCTCGAACCCGCGGGCTCAGGCAATCCACTCACCTCAGCCTCCCAAAGGTGTGGGATTACAGGCTGAGCCACTGAGCCCAGCCTAAGCTTTTGTATAATGGAAAAATAATTATTTACTTTTCTCCACTCGTACAATGACGCTAGGAATGTTATAGAAGCTGGGATTGGATTATTAATGTGAACAAGTTTTCCTATCACTGGGATACTGGATGGTGTGAAAAGGAATTGACAAACAGGCCTGCTGCTAGTCCAAAAGGTCCCTTTTATGCGAATTAGGAAAGGTTGCCATTTCCTCAAGATGCTTTATTGCCAACAGTCAGAAAATTGTGATACTTAGCAATACTGTGATACTACCAATGTAAATGACTCCAGGAGTTGTGCACAATCATATCTAGAGTTCCCTCATGACTCCTTATTCTTATATTTCCTCTTCCTATGGGCAGTATGTTAACTAACTCCACAGTCAGAGCTAAACTTCTCTTAAGAAAAAAAAAGCTCTGAACGAAACTCCCTACATAATGACAGTTAAAAATATCATAAATATGCCACTAATAACAATGATGATGATACAACTTCAATACTGGTACTAATTCTTTCATAAGACTATCTGATTTTGAGATCACTACGTCAACATTGCTCTTTCAAATATAAACAGAACTTTTTAATGAACAGAAATATAGAAAACTTAAAATCCATATGAAGAATATACATACAATGCTCATTTGTGCTTACTGTCAAGACTTTTAATGGTTAGAAAACACAGTAACTGGACATAATTTTTCCAGTTCTAAACTCTTGAGATAGGCTATCTGCATAAGACCTTGGCAGCTTTTACAGAACCCAGAGCTGAGAGCAGGAGCACTTCCAATACTGAGGAACATCTAGTAGCGGCATCAGAAAATCATTATCCCAGAAGTCAAGACCCAGTTTCCAAATTGTGCAGAGATTAATATACTGAGCCATACTATCAGCAGATTACATTTGCCAAATATTATGACTGTTAAAATCTCTAAAATTCCACTAATTCATAGCGAATCAAAACCTCAAAAATTCAAATTTACAAAAATAAATAGCACTCTGACACTCAAGGGACATCTTCACTTTAAGGCCTTTGTCACAAATCTGAATCTTTATTGTTCTGAAATAAACGTTATAAACATAACTCAAAACAAAACTTCAATATTCAGTCTAAGAAGAGGTGTGGCTCAACGCCCATCACATGTAACAAGAAAACCTCCTTTAAAAAAAAGGAAAAAAGTACTATGAGAAGTCTTTCATATGACTGAAAATGCACCCTCTGGACTGTTCCCCCTCATCTCATGAGCTTGAATACACGTGGGAATCAAAAGGTTTGCATTTTCTTCACAACAGTTCTTGCTATGATGTTTGACGAACTTTCTGCCACTCAACAAATTCATCAAGAAGAACAGGCCCTAGAAATAGAAAAATAACTTGTGTTAGAATTCAGTGAATCCGTCTCTCCAGCTATACAACCAGTTTTCCATAAGCTCTGTGGCAGCAGCAGCAGCCAGGCCCTTTCCTTCCTCAGGTGTTCTGGCTGCAGCTACCCTCTGCCATTTCATGGCACTTTCTTACTAGACTTATTCTTTGGCCCTTTGAATACTAATGAGCTAAGTATTATTTAAAAAATATTTTGTTTTGTTGAGTCAGGGCCTCACTGTCACCTGGGCTGGAGTGTAGTGGCATGATCCCAGCTCACTGCAGCCTCAACCTCCTGGGCTCAGGTGATCCTTCCACTTCAGCCTCCCAAATAGCTGAAACTACAGGTACATGCCACTACATCCAGCTAATTTAAAAAAAAATTTTTTTTGTAGAGACGAGATCTTGTTGTGTTGCCCACGCTGGTCTCAAACTCTTGGCCTCAGAGTGATCCTCTCCCCTTGGCTTCCCAAAGTGCTGGGATTATAGATGTGAGCTGCGTCCAGCTAAAAAAGATAACTATATAATGCAGGAGAGGCTCAAGCTCATTTAACTACTGAAGCCAGATAGGCAACTGAAATGAGCTCAGGGTTTACTTTGTTTAAGTATAGGAAGACTCATTGCCACAAAGAAATATGCTTGGCCTCTTTTTCTTAAAACACAAAACCCTCCCCTGGTGTTTTTCCCTCTTGCTTTTAATAGAAATTCTCTACTATTAAAAAAAAAATCAGTAGAGAGAGCACAATAATAAATGGCAGCTGGAAAATAGCCTAGGTATTGGCATACTGAGAACTGCCAAAGTGAAAAGAAAGGGCAAAACAGCCTCGACCTGGCTCCAGCCTCTGACTCCCACAAAGGAATACAAGGGCGGTTTTTCCAGATTTTCAAACAATTCTAAAAGCTGTGTTTTTCTATAAAATCTCCCAGTTTTCAATGTTGGCTCAAAACACACAAATATACACATCTGCAGGCCATATACAGCCCTTGGACTGCAAGTTTACTGCTGTTAGGTATTATTCCTTTAAACAATATTAAGTACCTCATTTCAGTTTAACTTTATGGGACTGTACCCTTTTCCATGCAACTATTCTGAACATTAAAACAATACATAACAACCAAAATGGTGGTGGGAATAGAGAACTCACAGTTCTAGAGAATTATCTTGACTTAGCTAATAATTTATCATTACTTCAAAATTCTGACTGATGGCATTCTAGCCTTTCTACTGAGGAATATGAACAGATATTTTAATCTGAAGGACTGAAGAGTCTTAGAATCCATTTTTAATATTCAGAGAGAAGTTATTTTCACACTATTTGATATATTATTAATTGGCCCTCTGATATTAACTTTAAAGCTACTTCTATTGTAGCTGATTGTTTTGCTTTCACATTTTTAAAATCATGAGTACACTTTTTTCCATAGGAAAGTGCCAGGAAAGACAGAAATAGCAAAATTTTAGTTTCTAGCTGCAGAAATTATAATTTAAATTCAGCTGCCATGTTTAGGGAGAAATGGAAAGCATTTCACTTACCGGCATAGATCTTACAATTCTGCTGAGCCTAGGCTATCTCCCCCATATCCCTTGCATGATTACTTGTAAGTTACTGTAAGAAAGTTTAAGGCTGGGTGCAGTGGTTTAAGCCTGTAATGACAGCGCTTTGGGAGGCTGAGGCGAGAGGATTGCCTGAGCTCAGGAGTTTGAGACTGGCCTGGGAAACTTGGTGAGAGCTCGTTTTTACAATAAATTAAAAAATAAGCTGGGAGTGGTAGCGCATACCTATAGTTCCAGGGAAGAATCACCTGAGCCCAGTAGGTGGAGGCTGTGGTGGCTTAAGCCCATTTTCTCATGTGCTAAATGGGGATAAAACTTAATTCAAAATAGTGTTATAAATTAGGCAGGGCGGCTCATGCCTGTAATCCCAACACTTTGGGTGGCAGAAGTGAGAGGACTGCCTAAGCCCAGGGTTTGAGACCAGCCTGGGCATCTTCACGAGACCTTGTCTCTACAATAAATAAATTCCAGCACTTTAGGAGGTTGAGGTGAGAGGATTGTCTGAACTCAGGGGTTTGAGACCAGCCTGGGCAACTTGGCGAGACCTCATCTCTACAATAAATCAAAAAACAAGCCAGGAGTGGTAGTGTGCGCCTGTAATTCCAGGAAGGATCGTCTGAGCCCAGCAGGTTGAGGCTGCAGTGGCTTGAGCATGCCACTGCACTCCAGCTTGGGCGACAGAGTGAGAATCCAACTCAAAAAAAAAAAAAGAAAGTTCAAAACCTTTTATGCCAATGCTACACAAATGTACACTCTCATTTTCTTTTCAAAGGAATATGCTATATTATACTTACAAGCACCATCTTCATCATAGTTACTAAGATCAGCATGGACTGTTCTGCTGAATTCTAATACATTGTACCACTGATCTTTGTTCATAACACGATACTTTGATTGCTGTGGAAAATGATTCAAATATTTGAATTACAAAACAAACATTATTTATTAGGGTTTGACTTTACTAAATTTAGTTATATCTTTTTTTATGGTTTGGATTCCTAAAACATTTATTCCTCATTTAATTAAAGTATCTGTTATTTCTAAGAGATTCCTCAAGGGCATTTACATGCTAACATCATCTTTTTTTTTTCTTTCATCTCTGAGAAATAATAGGAGTATCAGGGGTACTAATAGCAAAGATTAACTCAATGAATTTTTATATACACGTAAACTTGAGTAACCACCAATGAAATCAAGATACATAGCACTTTCTACAACTAGTATGTTCCTTTGTGCTGATTTCTAGCACAAGGGAAATAATTTCTTTGCATAAGATTTACTGTTTAGTCATATTTTGAGGTTGGCATATTTGGAGACAGTGGAAAGAGTATAGGCCTGGGTTCAAATCCCACTTTTGCTACTTAATTAACTCTGGGAAAGTTTCTTAAGACCAGAGCCCATTTCCTCATTCGCTAAATGGGGATAAAACTTAATTCAAAATAGTGTTATTAAGCTGGGTGTGGTGGCTCACCCCTGTAATCCCAAAACTTCAGGTGGCGGAAGTGAGAGGACTGCCTAAACCCAGGGTTTGAGACCAGCCTGGGCAACTTTGCAAGACCTTGTCTCTACAAAAAATTAAAAAAAAATTAGTTGGGTGCGGTGGTGCGTGCCAGTTGTCCCAGCTACTTGGAAGACTGAGGCAGAAGGATGGCCTGAGCCCTGCAGGTAGAGGCTGTGGTAGTCCTGAGTGTGCCACTGCACTCTAGCCTGGGCAACAAAGTAAGACTCCGCAACTCAAAAAAAAAAATAGTATTATAAAGAATAAAAAATATTTAGTTCTTCTTAGTTCCCTATAGGACCGAATATTTTTACATTCAGTTAGATGTATTTTTTGCCCAAAACTACTAACAGGAGGAAAGTAGATACCATCCATCAAAAAAATTTATTCTATTGAGCTGTAAGATTTAATCGTGCCCAAACTCATTCACATAAGACCTTTCATACCATTGTCTCTTATCACAACTTTAAATAAAAGTACTTAGCCGGGCTCAGTGGCTCAGCCTGTAATCCCGTGCCTTTGGGAGGCTGAGGTGAGTGAATTGCCTGAGCCCGCGGGTTCGAGACCCGCCTGGGCAGCGAGACCTCATCTCTACAATAAATCAAAAAAAATCAGCCGGGCGTGGTAGCACATGCCTGTAATTCCGGCTACTTGGAAGGCTGAGGTGGAAGGATCGCTGGAGCCCAGCAGGTCGAGGCTGTGGTGGCCGGGAGCGACTGAGTGAGACTCCAACTCAAAAAAAAAAAAGTACTTTGGGGAACTTGATAAGCAATCAGCTTTATAAGAAATTATTTTTAAAGGAAAAAACCATGTATGTATTCAAGAAATGGTGAGACGTATACAAAAAAAAGAGAAAAAAATTTGAAAGGGCACAAAAATATATAAAGATACAAAACTAGACAAAGAAAACAATGAAAAAAAGAAAAGCATCTTTTGGAATCACTGCCTATAGTAGGTGCTATGATAAACCTTCTAAAAGAACACTTACTTCATCAAGTCAGCATACTTTTTTTAGTTATCAGTATATTTAAGCATGCTATTATAGCCATTCTCATATTTGTGGACATAAAATATTAATAGCTTTATTCTGTTTCTTTAGATTGAGCCTAAGTAGAAAAGGAAAGTTTTATTACTAAATTGCTTCTTATGTGCATTTCAGCCTAAGAACTCTGTAATGACAGAAAGAAATCAGACTTAGAAGGTTAAGATTTGTGTGTTAGCATCAATTCTCTTGCCAAAAAACCGAGGAACTAATTTTGCATGAAAATTCCTGTGCTAAAACATATTTCTTAAAAATTTCTTTATTTCCCAGGGAAGGGTGGGGATTAAGGATGGTAGCAGAATAAAAATATCTTCTATATTAATAAACATGAATTTGTGTCTGAAAATAACAAAAAATAAGTACACATTTTAACAGAATTTTTTCTTATTCAAGCAGATTTTTTACAAATACTGTATTAAAATTTTATTTGTTTCTAAATTAAAAGTATAACTTTCAATCAGATTAAGTTTTAAAATAGTATTTTCAAAATAAAAAAAGCATACATACCTCCAGGTACTGGTAAAATACTGAAAACAGTGGCCATGTCCTCCCAAGCAGAAGAGCTAACATAGATTTAGCAGTATCAATATCAAGGCTTCTCTGATCTTTATCCTAAAACATAAGTAAAAAATGTTCCTAAGTGTGGTCTCAAGATGAAAAATTTTTAACAAAACTAAACATGAAGACTACCCTACCCTTGCAAAATCAAAGGCGTATCGGTAGATATTCTTAAATGACGAAATATCATTCAACTGTGAGCGCAAAAAGTCAAACTTGTTCTGTAACTTTTCTGTGCAGTCACACCTTAAATGAAAAAAAAAATAGGAAACAGATTATATAGTCAAGAAAATTAAACCAAAGTATTAATATCATTGGGGGTAGAAGGAATGCATTAAGAAAAAAGTGTATTTATGAAGTTAATTTAGGTTTAAAATTCTATGATTCACAAATTTATTTTAACAAGCAAATTTGCTGCCCTTGCACCTACCAATGCAATAAAAAGGAAAAAGGGGTAATAAAAGAAAACAAAAAACTGCGAATCAATAAAAGTTCACTCCTATGTCTTTTCTCTTTTTTTTTTTTGAGGTAGAGTCTCACTCCATCGCAAAGGCTGGAGTGCGGTGGCATGCTCACAGCTACCCCAGCATCTACCAACTGGGCTCAGGCAATCCTTCCGCCTCAGCCTTTCAAGTAGCTGGAACTACAGGCATGTACTACCACGCCCGGCTAATTTTTTGATACATGGTAGAGATGAGATCTCGCCAAGTTGCCCAGGCTGTTCTCGAACCCGTGGGCTCAGGCAATCCTCTCACCTTGGCCTCCCAAAGTGCTGAGATTACAGGCTTGAGCCACCGCACCTGGCTGTCTTTTCTTAAAAAAGAATAATACAACCTACTCAAAAAATTCCAAATTAAAAATTGTGATTTAAAATCACAATTAAAAAGAGATATATTAAAATATGCTTTTATCACATATAAAGCCAAAACAATGGCAGAGCAAATGAAATCAGGGCTTTGTCACGTATTTCTTTGGAAAGTTCTTAGGCAACACCTACGTAAAAGAGATTAGCTACGAGAGGTTTTAAAAGTTTAAGGTAAAAAACAGAAGAAATCAATACATTATATTAAGTAGTCCAGTCGTAATTCCAGATCCCTACATTTTTATAGAACAAGAAGTCAAGGCCAATCAGTGGAAGCATCTAACTTCAAAAAAATTACATATATAAAAGCATGTAAACAACAAGCTACACACATTATCTCTAAAGACAAGACACCGAAGGCTCCAACATCTGAACTGGCTTTTTAACTCAGTTGGCCGATAAATTCCACTGTTCAGCAAGAAACAAGGCAGATGAGGTCTTTCATGGTCTGGCACAAATCTCCAGTCTCACTCCGGCCACTTCCTGAGATCCTCTTCACTGTGCTCTAGGGGAGTTCGCCAAACGCCACAGCTGTGCTTTAGCACCCATTATTTCCTCTGCTCGAAATGCTGTCCCTCAGCATTTTGACAGAATATTACTCATGAAGATCCAGCTCGGATTTTGCCACCTCTGAGAGACTATCTGACTCCCCTCAAATTAGCTGTGGCATCTACTGTGACCTACGGCATTCTACTCAACTGAAGTTTAGTATGCATCACGCTCTACAAACACATGGCGTTCTCAGATTTAACCAAGACTTTCACTGTGCTAAATCAATGATGTGAAGATCTTCTATGGTGTGTAATAACGCATGATTTTATTAAGGTATAAACATTTTGGACAAATTTCAAATTTCTAACATTAATTGAACCTTACATTTTTTTTTTTTTTTTTGAGTTGGAGTCTCACTCTGTCACCCAGACTGGAGTGCAAGTGGCTGCTCCCGGCCACCACAGCCACACCTGCTGGGCTCCGGCGATCCTTCCACCTCAGCCTTCCAAGTAACTGGAACTACAGGCGCGCGCTACCACGCCCGCTAATTTTTTTTAAATTTATTGTAGAGATGAGGTCTTGCCAAGTTGCCTGGGAGGGTCTCGAAGCCGCGGGCTCAGGCAATCCACTCACCTCAGCCTCCCAAAGCGCGGGATTACAGGCTGAGCAACTGAGCCCAGTAAACCTTGCATTTTTAGAATAAGACAAATTTGATCATGTTACCTGTTTCACACATTACTAGATTTTTCTTTTTGCTATGTTCCTAAGTGAGACTGGCTTGCAAATTTCATTCTTTCACATACTCCCTGGTAGTTTTAACAACAAGCTTGTAGTATATGCCTCAGAACATGAAATGGGGATTACTAGCCCCCCCTTTTTTCAGTTTTCTGAAAAAGCTAATGTAATCTTGGAATTAACACCTGTACAAACTAATATGAGAACTGAGGGAGGGAAACACTTTTATTAATAATAAAACATTTTTTTTGCAGTTGTAGTTTCATTCTGTTGCTCAGGCTGGCGTGCAGTAGCACAGGTAATGCTCATCGCGACCTTCACTCCTTAGGCTCAGGTGATCCTTCCACCTTATCCCCCAAGCAACTGGGACTACAGGCACACGCCGCCACACCTGGTTAATTTTTTTTGTCTTATATAGAGAAGAGGTCTATGTTGCTCAGATTGGTCTTAAACACCTGGGCTCAAGCAATTCTCCAGGCTAGACCTCCCAAAGTGCTGGGATTACAGCCATAAATCATAAATTTTAATGGCTATAAAACTATTCAGATTTTCTATTTCTTTGGATGCTTTGGTCATTTACACTTTTCTGATAATTGGATTATTTCACGTTTTATTTAAATTTGTTGTATAAAATTATAACATCTTTTAACTGCATTAATACAATTTATTTTTGTTGTCTTTCTTGACCAATCTTGCCAGAATTTAATTCATTAATTTAAGGCTAAACAACTTCCCTTAATACAATTCTAACTGCAAACACAAATTTTGATAAGTATTATTGCTTTTATTATTCACTTGTAAATAACACCCTGACAAGAGTTATTTTGGAGGAGAGGTAGGGATAAAAAACTTACTGGAATAGGTTTAAGAGAGAATGAGAAGAGTAGAACTGGAGAAGGTAAATATAGACAAATACTTCAAAGAGTTAGGTCTAAACTGACTCAGAGAAAAGAGGCACTAATTTGAGTGGGATGGAGAGGAGAAGATTAAAGAATTTTTAATAGATAAAAAATAACTTCTACTTCCAGGAAGACAGAGAAAAAGTACCCCCCCCTTTAGGTACAACTCAAATCCCTGGACATGAAAACAAACAGGAGACTCAAAGGTGAAGACTTGAGGAATGACGTGGTGGCGAGTTACATTTTTTTTTTTTTGGATTTTTTTGTTTTTGTTTTTGCCTCATAGATTCCAAACTTAGAGCTGAGGTAGCCACAAATCAGAAATACCAATGGAGGCAGACAAAAAGCTGCAATAAAAACCTGCTCTTTTTCTGTCTAAAAGACCAAGATGGGTCAGTCGAAAAAGATGGAAAACTCGTAGAAGATAAGCACCACTTCAGTTACATACTGACAAAAAACAGAACAAGCTACGCTTCAACCTCCATCACTGCCAACGGAGACCTAACCTGTTCGCTTAGCAGCACATCGTGAAGCCTCCCTCTCAACAACTGCAGTGTTGACGGAACCCTACGAGGAGTAGGTGGCAACCAGCAGCTGTTCCTGCTTGGGGTAGTGTCCAGGAACCTGGTGAAGCGTCCGGGCTTTCGTCTTCACATAGTGGTGAAAAGGCTACCAGTCAGTGGCACCACCTGAGCTGTGCGGGGAGGCCATGTGGGAAACAGCAGCAGGCACTCTACCCCTTTCAGACAAGAAGGTATCAGTAGAGGCCTAGTGGGAGCCCAGAACTCTCACCACTGCCCAACAGTCACAGGGAGCATCCCTCCTTGAATGTCACTGGATGCAGGGTAGAAACTTCCATTTCTTTTAAGTTACAGCGGATGAGGGAAAGAAATACATTACATAAAATAAAAATAAACTTCAATTTCCACCTGGACCTGGCAGTTCTAGAATAAGCTAACTAAACAGAAAGTTTAAATAAGATCCAGAGTTTCATAACTTAATGCCCATAATGTCCAAATTTCCATTAAAAAAACCACCTGTCAAGCCAAGAACCAAAGTTGCAAATGGAATGCAAAAAGACAATCAATAGATGCAAACCAAAATGACAGAGTGATTACAGTTATTTGATCTAGATTTTAAAGCAGCTATCATAAAAATCTTTCAAAAAGTAATTAAGAACACAATAAAACAAATGATAAAATAGTCTCAGCAAAAAGACAAAGTCTAAAGAAAGAAATATAAGATATAAAAAATTAACCAAATGGAAAATTTTTGTAAAATACAAGGTAGACTTAAGCCTTAACATATATCAAAAATCACATGAAATGTAACTGTTCTAAGTACACCAATTAGAAGACAGAGGGAAAAAAAAAAAAACCTAGCCACACGCTGTCTAGAAGAGACTAACATCATATATAACAATATAGGAAGGATGAAAAGAAAAGAATGAATAATATATAGAAACATTAAACAAAATAAAGCAGCAGTGGCTACATTAATAGTAGCTAATGTAGACTTTAGAGAAAAGAAAATTATTAGAACAGAGAGAATAATTCCATAGTGATAAAAGGGCCACTCCACCAGGAAGACACAGCAATCCTAAATAATCCTAAGCAATCCTTTATGCATCAAACAAGAGAGCCATAAAACATGTGAGGTAAAAACTGAAAGAGAAATAATAGAAGTGAAAGAGAAATAAACAAATCCACAATTTTAGTTGGATATTTCAACATCCTTTTCTCAGCAACTGATAGAAAAACTAGACAGACTATCAGCAAACATACAGAATTTAACACCATCATCAACCAACAGGATCTAGCTGGTCTTAATAAAACACTCCACTCAATGACAACAGAATACACATTCCTTTCAAGGGCCCAAAGAACATAAACTGAGACAGATCATGTCTGCAGACATAAAACAAACCTCAAGATTAAAAATAACTGAAATAAAAGAGTGTTCTCTGACAAAAATGGAATCAAATAGCAAAGTCTCCAAACACTTGAAACTAAACAGCAAATTCTTAAATAATCCACAAGTGACAATAAGCTCAATGGAAACAAAAATACATGAAACTAAATGAAAATGAAAAGACAGCATATCAAAGTTTGTGAGACATAAATAAAGCAGTGCTGTGAGGGAAACTTATATAGCAAACATTAAGAGAGGAAGCCTCAAACCAATAATCTAAGCTCATATCTTTAGAATCCAGAAAAAAGAAGAGCAAAATAAACACAAAGGAAGTAGGACAAAGAAAA